CTTGACTCTACTTATGCCATAAGGGAAAAAAAGTCAAACCAAAAAATATCCTGATGCAAATATCAATTATTTCTGAAGCCTTCCAAAAAAAAAATAATAATTTCCTCCCAGTCCCACTCCCTCACCCACCCAAAAAAGCAGATACCTTAGTTTTTAGATTAACTGAACATTAACATTAAAGCATGGTTTGGTATTGAACAATGCCAAATTACTACAGGCCTCCCAGAAGAACCTCCCAGGAGAATACAAGAAAATTGCATTTCAAATGAAATAAGTGTGTCAAAAAGGTTTACTTTAGGTCTGCCTCTTGGCACACTTTGACTGGACCCTAGGGACACCTGAATAGACAATTTAAAGCTTAGGCTAACTAGTGAGACTTTTAAATTTTCTCAGTTACATCAACAATAAAGAAAAAATACACGACAAGCTTATAGGAATACAAAAAGCATTTAAAAGAAAAAATGTCAGACTAAGTTAAAAATATATTTTGGGTCCCCCAAGATATATTAGGGAGATCTGGCTTACTTTCCCAGTCCCCTCTTTAAAGGCAAAGGGAATAGAAAACCCTCTAAGAGCCAAACAGAATTCAGAAGCCCAAGCATCCGTCCAAAGACACTGGTGGTGAAGGAGGCTGCACTGAATTGGCACAAGACTAGGAAGACTGCAGTCCATAGTTGCTGCTTTAAAACCAAGAATAAGACATTCAATATAAATAAAATCTAATATGGTGAAGGCAAGCTCAATGAGGACACAAATGCAATATTTGTTGAAAATGGCTGATTTTTTTTAAAATCCACAAGTTTATTTAACTTGAATCTAATAAACCTCTGGAAACCCAAGGTCTAGTCATGCTAGTAGCTTGGAAAGGTGGAATTCTCTCATTCCTTGTACTGGCTTCTAGCTCATTTCTATGTGAATCAAGACCTGTTGTACTGATAAACTGCTAGGACCATACCGGTATCACCACCCCTTCTCACTCAGAAAGACACTTATTCTTCCCAACCTTGGACTGATACCCATCTGTCCAAGTGGTGGATGACTTGATATCCATTCTGCAAAGAGAAACATGTGCGCCATCTCTTAAATGTTGCAAGACAGAAAGACTATTCCCATTCACGCCCCCTTTAGCAGGTGGGATATTGAAATGGGACTCAAGAGACCTGGGTTCAATTCGCAGCTCAGCCAGATACGTTCTCTATGGCTTTGGGCATATCATTTAATGTAGCTTCTGCCTCAGGTCCCCGACTGTAAAATGGGGATATATGGCCCCATCCACATAGTAAATACCTAGATCAGTGGTGGGCAACCTGCGGCCCACGGGCTGCAGGCAGCCCGTCAGGGTAATCTGCTGGCGGGCCGCCAGACAGTTTGTTTACATTTGCACAGCCACCCGCAGCTCCCAGTGGCCACAGTTCACCGTTCCCAGCCAATGGGAGCTGCGGGAAACAGCACGGGCCACAGGGATGTGCTGGCCGCCGCTTCACGCAGCTCCCATTGGCCGGGAATGGTGAGCCACGGCCACTGGGAGCTACAGGTGGCTGTGCAAATGTAAACAAACTGTCTGGCGACCCGCCAGCGGATTACCCTGATGGGCCGTATGCGGCCCGCAGGCCACAGGTTGCCCACCATTGACCTAGATGATCTGTTTGGATCACACACCCATCAATAAATGCCGTGAAGTTTGAGATCTTGTACTATAATAAACCCGGCACTAGCACCATTGCAAAAGCTATGCATAAAAAATCAGGGAAGTCACAGTACCCCTATAAGAAGGAAATTAAAACCTGCATGTGATGGGGTGGACTAGTCCGAAGGCCCTCTGCTAGAGGTCTTACAGCCATGCCTCTGCCCACCCCAAAAAAGAGCAGAGGCGAAGTCCTCCCGGCAGTCTAGAGTGGCTGCAGGGGAGCATCCAATCAGAGGGAATTACTGGAGCAACCAATCAGGGGCCAGAAGGGCCACATAAAAGGAAGCAGCAGCAGCAGAGCAGTAAGTAGCTGCTTGGAGCTTGAAGAGGGAGGACTGGGTGCCTGACTGGACGAGCAGCAGGACCTTGGACAGGTCACTGCAGACAAGTTGACCCCAGGGGACTGAGCCCAGAACTTAGCCAGACCAGGCAAGGGTATCATGATGGGCCCTGCTGGTCTGGTTGAAGACTGAGCCTTGACGAGGGCTGCTGAAAGAACACTAACCAAGGGTACCGAGATGGGACCCTGTTGGGCTATTAAAGAAGGCAGTGTCTCCAGGAAGGATGCTGGAACACTGCACCACTAACACTAATTCACCTACTGGCACATAATATTGCCAAGCACCACTTTGAAAGAGCATGCAGGGGAAGGCAACAGGGAGATGTACTCAACGGCTGTGCACTGGAGAAAAGAAAGAGCTCTATGGTATACTGTAACCTAATGTTAGGGTCAACCCATAAAATAAGTCCAGCCAATCAGGTGGACCAACACAGGCCAATGGCTTCAGGCAATGGCAGCACGCTCTCCTACAAAGACATGTACCATTGGCAAGCACCATATTTTGGTTTTGTGCAAGGTAATATGGGAGCAAACTAGTCTCCCTTGTTTCCCTTCAGAATAAATAATTTTGAGATTTTGATTAATTCCAGGCTTAGGGTCAGTCTTCACAGGCCTAATTTTGTAAACTCTTATACACACAGAGTAGGCCTTATACATGTAGTCCCACTAAAGCCAATAGGACTATTCATTATTTACTTGGTTCTTTTGTTATAATAAAAAGACGGGACACACATTAGTTAACTTACATTTGTATTGCTATTGTCTCATTTCCTCATTAAGAGGAGAGAATACTAACTAAAAATGAAAAGGTTTACACAATGAAAATATGTCTCATTCTAAATATACAACTAGAAATAGATACCAGAAAAAGGTTTATGGAGCTTCTAGAAAAGTTAGTCTCTTTATTAGATTAGATTTTGAAAGGGAAAGTGTTAAAAAAAAAGTGTCTCAAAGAAGCCTCAAAATAATCTACCATAAAATACCAAAATCACTTTTTAAAAAATCATCATTGGTTTTTTAATTAAAAAAAACCCTGAACAATGCCCCATGTTTTACCATACCCTATTATGATGGTGTTACCATAGTAACAAGGTCATCATCAGTAGCCATTATATATTACTTCATTTTTGACAGGGGAGTTAGAAATCTCTCTTTCAAATATGCATTTAACAAGCTCTGTAAGAAACCACAGTTTACCAGATCATTCCACTGAAACAAAACAAGGAAAAACACTCACAGTGCTGAATGGATCATCTTCTATGGATCATGCACATGTACGTTTGTCACATTTTCAGAAACAAGACTGCCATTCTAGCTACTGTGCCAACACTAAAAACAATATGCCCTATGATTGGCTTAATTATCAGACAGTGATCAAACAAGACAAATAAATGGTTATGTGAAGCAATGTTCAAATGGTTATGCTAACAGCTCTATGGTGTAAGAAGCTACTCCATATACAAACACTGAAAATACTGCATAAACAAATCCAATGGATAAAAAATTAATTATATGTTCAAATAAAGGCTGTTTTCCTTACTACGGGAATTTCACATACAACTGAGGACACCATTCATTAAACAATGGATAAAGCAAATGTTTGGGTTTATGGAGGAGGAGCATTAGATCCACAAAAACCTTACTGTAGCAGAATTACAAAAAGTATTACCACAACAAATGCATGCAGTGAACCATCCGGAACACTGCAATGCCAAGTATTACTCGAAGTGCAGTAGAGTGCTGGACTGCAATTTCTGCCTGCTCATTCAGCTGAGAATGATGTAATGGTGTTTTTATTTACTGTATAGTTCACCCTTTTTTTTTTTTCCCCCTACTTGTTTTCCAGTTCTGGAATTTGAAATAATTGTTTTAATGAACAGTGAAATGTCAATATTAATTACATTAATTTAATTTAACATCAGTTCCAACTTGACTATCCCCTATGTGAAAAACAGTTAGACATGACATTTCAAGGACATCTACTCTCAGAATCATCATTTCTGAAAGTACTGTCTTGGAAGGAGAGAATGAGAAGAAATAAAATATCTGAGACAGTATCTACAAGCAACACATCCTTATGATAAAGTAGATTTAATCTAATAATTTTAAACCACTACATATTAACCCAGAAAACATGCAAAGCAGCATTAAGGGTATGCACAAATATGAGCAAGAATGCAGAATTTTAAGACTGAAACACCATCCTCAATCCAAACTACTTTGAACCAGATTGGACCATTAAGGCACTGGCTTACTTTTGCACTCATGCACCATTCCAGGAGGAATTCTGGGAACAACTGTGTCTTAGGAGCCATGATTTCTCTGCCAACACTCCACCATGCAGAGGGAGTGCCCACTGAGCATTCTTTGTACAGTTGGCTTGCTACCTAGACTAGTGCTAGGGCAGAGCATGGATATGGTCATGCTTTCCCCTTTGGAGTAATTCACACACCCAGATGCTAAATGGAAGCAGTCCCTATGTTCTTCCAAGCACACAACTGCTACTGTAAATGGTCCCTTGCTCAGGAGATGCAAGAAAAGGAATGCCTCTGCTTGAACCAGGCACGATCTAGCTTTTTGTCTATGGAACCTGCTGAAATAGTGGATGATCTTGCATGCCATGTGTAAAATGTTCTAATCCCAGGAGACACCTGCACAATATAGATGAGTTAGGTATGAGATTTCAGCCATAATCTGAGTAAACTACAGAAGAATTTAAAACACCACATATGTAGCTGCATCCCTTCCTTTTCCCTATATCATAAATTCTAATCTCAATAGAACTGAACAGCAGGTTTAAAACAACTTTTCATTTTGCTATTAGTAAAATGTATGTTATTTCCAATCCTTAAAAGAGACAAGACCTGGTGTTTTACTTCTACACATACAAATGCAATATAATCACAATAGATAAAGTACATTTGATTTGTAAAATTCACTCTGTGGCAGCCAGAAGTAATAAAAAATACTTACACCAGTGGGCTAAGGGTAGCTGCCCTTATCATCACGATGATCAGGATTACAGTTGTTAAAATCAGAGAAATAAAAGATACCTGCAAATTACAATCCAAATGTTTTATCAGTTCGCTGGTCAGAATTTCAGTAGTTTTAGCAATGTATTATTCTATTTGAAAACTTTCTTCTTTCTTCCAAAAGTTAAATTAATAGCAAAGCTAAATTTTTTAAGTGTCTGCCTTTCCAGAGAAGCAGGTCTTTGTTTTTAAAAAAGCATTCCAAGATTTCCATGTTTTATTTGCTGTCATTGTCTTTTAACTGCTTTATGACCAATTGAGCCTTTAGTCCACTGCTACTACAAAGAGTCTTGTCTGCAGAAATGCTGAGCATCTTTGGTTATTTCATTTAGAATTGTGAGTACTCAGCAGCTCTGAAAAATCAGACCCACTGTAGCTATTTTATGAGTAAATGGCAAACGTAATTATGTAGGTACAGGATTGTTATTTATTTATTTATTTTCATCGACAGCTGTTTGTGTAGCAGCAAATATGGCTCTCTGCCCTTGTATTTTGAGAATGCAGGCTGGCTAGTCCCTTCCTGTGAACAGCAATGTTTTCCTGTATCTGAGTGGTTGTATAACACAACATGATCTGAAATTATGAAACATCAGACAGATTCTACCCAGATGTAAGCAAGTACAACTTCATGGAAGTCAGTGAAGTTGCATCTGCTTACAGCAGGTCTGAATTTGGCTTTATATCTTTTAGGACACATGAGACATCTATAAATGTTTTAAGCTTAAGGTATTATAAAGCATGCAATTGTAAAGACATTTAATATACATAGGTCTCAATTTTGCATTCTGATAAGCATGGACACAAGTGTCTGCCTGCAGAGATGAGACTGAATAACTGGAGTAAAAATTTGTCCTGATTGGCTATTGGCTGCTATTGCTTCCCCGCTGTCATCATTATACAAATGATTTGAGCTACATTCTTAGGGGAAGATGATGATGTAAGATTAAGTAGCTGCAAACCAGATGGTGGTCGCCCCGGGCATAAAAAGGGTTGCAGTTTGGCAGCATTGGTCTTAGAGCCAAATGCATATCACCAAATTCACCTTACTTCAGTCAGTTGAGTGGCCTTGGTAAGGAGAGGAGCTGATTAATACTCTAGGCAAGCCACCAAAATGTTCTACTCTTTCATTCCAAATTAAAATTAATTTCAATATAAGCAATCCATGCCTGTGAAGAAAATGATCAAAAATTCAACAGTTAAATCTTTCAGATTTCAGAGCACAATGAAGAAAGTTAATTTTGTTGAAAGTTCCACATTAAAAGAAGAACTAGAATTTGTTTTTAATACTTTTAGAAATTAGCAATATTTGCAAGCAATCCAAGCAACAAAGGTGATATTTACAATAAATGAGATTTTATTCATGCTAAGAGGGGAATGTTTGCTCATTAAACTATTTAGGTCTTCTTTTATAGAAAATGAAAATTTAATAAAATTACAGAATGTTGAATTGTTTTATACTGCTAATAATTCCATCATTTCAACACTTGCTGTAAGTATATTTCATTTTCATTCAATCAAGTTATCATGAATTTAAAGTGCTTGTTCAAAATGTTTAACATGTAACTGTGATAAGTCCCTTTATATTCATTAAGGACCAGATTGTGATCTCTTTCCCCATGTTGTATAGTACCTTGCAACATAAGTATTCCCACTGAAATTGATGTAACTAGTTGGGGAGTAACGTACTACCCCATCGGGCCCTAAATTTAATGTGTGGTTTCTTTAGGAGGGCAGTAATAATTTAATCTCTCAGCTAACATGATGTTATTGGCTTGTATTCTGTTGCATTTAGGACTTCAGAACAAGTCCATCAGCACCAGGACTATTCAGTCATAATGTTAAATTCACTTGTCTGAGCCACACAATAGGACTCTTCAAATGTTTTCTACTCTCCTAACATGCACTGAAGGTTCAACATCCATTTAAGTCAATGGAAAGTCTCCCAATGACTTAAATGGGCAGTGAAACATGCCATGAAATCCCAATGAAAACAACTGGGAATACACGAAAGAAGGGAGAACAGAATAGAGATGTGTTTTGCAAAGGAAGATTTTAGCCTATCAAGTGCTTTACTGTGCTGTAAAAAACTGTTGGAAGTGTAACTGGACATTCTCTAGCAATATAATAAGCTGCATTTAAAACAATGATTTGATATAATTGAACCAAGATAGTCATTGGCATTATGATTTACCTTTGCCAGTTTTGCTATGTCACGATAGAGAGACATAGGCAGGGTAAAGATGATAGTAATACATAGAATAATGACTTGGCGGTAAGTAAGTAAGTTATCTGGACCAACTACAACATAAAGGAAAAAATTATATATTTAGATTTCTCTAAGAAATGGATGTGAGGAACAGATAAGTTACATTTGAAACTCTAGTAGCAATGTACCTTAGACCGTGCCCCAAACTGAAATCAAGGAAACTCCCACAGATGTCAAGGTTAGGCATTTCCTGACCTTAGGACAGATATACCTGCCCAGTGCATGCTCATAGGGATTTTGTGAGAATAAGATAAGCACATGCCAACATATGCACCTAACTATGAAATTCTGACCCTACGTGTGTAGGTATATTATAAACATCTGTCATGGGTGGGATTTTTGAAAGTGCTCAGTGTTGGCCTAACTACTCCCACTGAAATCAGTAGAGTTTTACCATTGACTTCAGTAGAACCCAGTTAGGCCAAAGCTCAGTGGTTTTGAAAATCCCATCCTACCTGCACATATATAGCCTACAACAGAAAAATCTAGCCCTCCAAAGCGAGGTCTGAAGCAGCATCAAAGTTTCAGCTGGGTAATCCATCAGTCAAGAACAAACCCAAGAGTGTGTCTTGGCCCATTCACTCTGCACTTGCATATGGCAGCGGACAGAATTTGATGTGCAGCTCAAAGTGAACCCTGGTTTTATTATTGGTAGTTTGCTTAGTTGAATAGGTTGGTATTGTTTTAAACACTCATGCTGGGAAGTCTGATTTTTTTCCTGTGTATCAGAGGATATTTTATTTAAAAAAAAACTTTTAACAGGGCCATGACATTTTGGATTTATCATTTTAGAGAATGTCCTAAGTGGTACATTTGTAATACATGGTCAGCTATATAGAAATGTTACTGTTTAAACAGACATTAAAGAAACAATTTGCATACAATGTAACATTGATCAACAACAGTTCTGGATGATTATCATAGCTGATACCATTAATACTAGAGTGCAGGATATGCACTGCACAGGCTGAAGCCATGACCCTGCAAACATATGACCTGGCACAGGAATCTACTACCATCAGGTAGTAGGACTGGGGCTGTAGAGTGCAGGAGAAGCACATGTAGACATTACAAATATATAAATAAGGTTCTTTTAGATTATTAGGAGACTGTACAATAGGGGATTCATAGAGGAAATAGGGGCCATATTTATTTTAGACCAGTGGTTCTCAACCCGCAGCCGCATGTGGCCCAATTAGCACACAGCTGTGTGTGCTAAAGGGGGCCTATGTGATGGGGTCTGGGTTCCCAACTGCCCAGCGCAGCGCGGTCCAGGCTGCCCCATCACACAGCGCGGCGGGTCAGGTCTGCCAGCCTGTCACGCACGGCAAGGGACCAGGGTCCCACAGGGTCAGGGGTCTGGGGCTCCCCACATGGCGGTGGTCCAGGGCAGGTGGGCAGTTGGCTGGCCCCACGAGGTCTGGGGCTCCCAGAGGGCCCCGCCCGGCAGGGGTCCAGGGCGGGCAGCTGCCTGGCCCCGTGCAGCGGGGGTTCGGGTCGGGGCTGCGGCTGCCCTGCCATCCGGCCCCTGCAGCCCAGGTAACACATTGTGGACCGCAACTGCTTTAGACTGACACTCTACCTAGTTAATCTCACCCCCAAAAATTATATATAAACACTTACCTCCAGGAATTGTTTGAAAAACTTTAGTCAAAGTGTCTCCTGTTATTATGTTGTAACTAATCATGGCTTTAAAAAAGAAAGATTGCTTTAATACACATCAGATAGGATATAAAGGCTCAAACAATACAGACTTTTAGATTGCATTCAGCTGAAACCCTTGCCCCACATCCTGGCTGCCTCTTTATTTGGCTGGTTTTCTGATCTCCCTGCTGCATTTAGCTGCTCTTCACAGATCTCCTTTCACGTTTGTTTTAAAAGTTAAATCAAGAGTTATAAAAGCAAAACTGGGAGCATTAAGTAATAGACATGAGAACTTGAAAGGGACCCAGTCAGATGAGCAAAACAGTTGAATTTTGTGCCCAAAGACACTTACTTCAAAAGGGAAAAAAGGCTTTTATAATTGCCTCTGCTTTCAGCAGTGATTCATGGACAGTCAGACCACTTTCAACTTCTAGTTTCTATTAGAAAAACAAATTATGTGCATTCAACAGTTCTTGTTTTATCTTTATAGCTAATCCCATGGGATTAGCATGGGATTAGCTATAATTAGTCAAATGCATTAGTCAAATGCATGGGGCTGTATCGCCACATACTGTAACTTGTAAAATCAGCTATTGTCTATACTTGTTCAAGAACAGTAGTCGATTTTACAAGACACAGTGGGTGCCACTAAAACTGAACATTTGTCCATCTGCAGTGAAGCAGTTCCACAGTGTCTTAGACTTAAAGATAAGAAGATACCAAGATTACTTCAAGTAGTTCTTACATAGACGTACATTTTAAATGGCAGTTGCTATACACTATGTAGTGATGTGTGTCTAGATAAGTGAGAGCCGGATAGAGGCAGTAAGTTAAAGGTTCCCTAGCACTAGTTCAGAGTCACTGAACTCTATCCAGTATAATGGCAGAGGGACTAAAAACGATAATGCAAAGAGGAAGCTAAAATACAGGGCTCCTCATTTAGGCTTCCATTGACTTCATTAGGAACCTGAATAAGAACTGAAGGATTGGGGTCCAAATTTACACACACACACACACACACACACACACACACACACACACACACACATACACACACACACACACTTCTGAACTAGAAAAAAATACACACTTATACGTGTGAAAAAAAATACACATGTGGTCTTTATTACCCTATCTCCATTCATTTATATTCACACAAATCCTACAAACACTAATGCATATACTTAACTTTACTACTGTGACAGTTCTGTTGGACCCAATGGAATGGCTCATGATAGACATGTGCTTAAGTTACTGAGTCTTTGCAGGTTAGGTCCATGATCTTTATTATCCTCCTCTATTTTCTCTTATAAAGCAACTATTATTTTCCATACAGAAAGATTATGGGCCAAAGTTTTCCAAAGTAACTAGTGATTCTGGGTGCCTCTATATTTGAATGCCCAACTTGACACCTTAAAGGGGCCTGATTTCCAGAAAGGGCTGATCACCCACTCTGTGGATTTCAGGCCCCTTTAATGTACCTCATGTGGAACATCCAAAAATTGAAGCACCTGAAATTACTACTCACTTTGGAAAAATCTTGGCCATGGTCAACAGAACAGATTTTTACATTTTAAAAAAAGAAATTGATAAAAGAACCATATATTGAAGCAGTAGTCTCACATATGTGTTCTTTCCAGCTCACCCGGACCTATCACTGGCTCTTGAAAGCACACGGTTCAAGTATAACTAGGGTGAAATCCTGGCCCTATTGAAGTCATGGAAGTGTGGCCAGTGACTTCAATAGAGCCAGGATTTCACTCTTTAGAATGTATATGATAACCTGATTATATACACACTAGCAAGTTTTCTTATTTCAAGTAAGCAAATATTACAAGACAAACTCTGAAGCTTTTTGTTGGTCTATAAAGATGTTGTTTATTAAAAGGATTTGTTTTCTTGGGTTTTTCGTGAGAGTCATGAAAAAATTGCCTAAGGATAGGCAATATTTTCATTTTCCTTGCCAAAATAATGAAATACAAACTAACTCTTTTCATGAGTCCATTTCTAAGTATTTTTAACTTCAGCAGTGTCTCCCTCTGGTAATTGAAAAAGGATAGTTAATTATAAGTTTACAATATATAACTTTATAGTGATCTTACCAATAAATGGATATAAAAACTGTAGTATTGAGAGAATTAGGTATCCTATAAAACCATACGATTTATTGACCAGTTCTTGGTAGCTGTTTGTACCAGAGAGGTTTCCTCCTTTAATCAGTAATATAATGGAATAATCTGTTAAAATAATATAAAAATAATATTTGAGACCTTAATTTTCCTACGTCTGTTCTGAAGAAATAGTTTGCAAAGTATTAAAAAAAAAAGCAAAGAAAGCAATCATTAACTGAAGCAACTATAGTGAACAGGAAGGGGAAGGGAAAGGAAAACACTATGGTTCAGTGTGTGCATATTCCCAGCTATCATCCTCTGGAAAGAGAGGGATTTGCAGGCCTATAGTTGTGGCATCCCGACTGTCAGAGATCCCTGAGAATCCAAAGAGAATTGTGTCTGGGACCCCATGGATCTCAGGGTTTCCACATGGAGACAAGCTTCCCTGTCTAGGGAGTGTGTAACCCACCCCCACTCAGGGTGGTGCTTTCTCCCCCTCTAGTAGTGGTTACATCACATATAGAAGTTGGTGAGCCTGCTACAGGCCTGGCTAACAGAGCAAGGTCTTTTAGCCCAGGCAGTACAGACTCATGCTTTTAGGACCAGAGGGCCCAGGATCAAAAAACTATCCAGTAGCAAAGCATTACAAGTAGCAACCCCAAATAATGTGCCTGTTTCCTAACATAGCAGCACATACTGCTTACAGGCCCCTACAAGTGCCCCCACCATATTTTTTTTAAAGGGCACTTCTCTCATTATATAATTGATATAGCAATTAACAAAAAAACCCAACAAAAATGTTACTAAATACAAACAATATGAACCATTTCTAAAACTATCTATGCCAGGGTCCTCAAGCTTTCCCCGCTAAGCTGTTGCTCTTTCCCAATCACCAACAGATGCAAGATATCTGATCCTTTCAGTTGCAGCTGCAACTACCCATCTGGCATGTTGGGGTCTCCCTCCTCCCCAGCCCACCACTGCAGATCTTCCTGTTCTGGCAGCCAGTGAAGAAACTCAGCTGCCACTCCTACCACCACTGTTCATTTGATGGGCAGGAAAGAAGGGACCCCCATCCCTCTACTATGTCATGTGGACCAGGGTCTCCATCTTCTCAGGATGGCTGCTACTTGTCTGGCTTTCAACCCTTTCCTAGAGCATTGGGCCGTATGTACGGAGGGGTCTTGCCAACATACACGTATGAAGTAAAGGACTTTATAATATCCCCCTCCTGCACATATCTCTCTATAGGGGTGAGATAAAAGTCCCCCAGGGTGTTCTCTAGAATGGGGCAGGAGAAGCCTCCTCCCACAAGACTTTCTGCTGTGCTAGCCTGTAGGGGAGGACTCTCTTGCCATCTCTGTGAGGGCTGAGGTCTCCCTCCTGGTGGACAGACCGCAGCCCACCTGAAGAGAAGGACTGGTGGGCTCATAGAGGAATAAAGTCCTAGATCCCCTGAAAAGTAACAGCAGCAGCAGACTAGATTTCCTCTGCTCTCTAGCCTGCCCAAAGACAGAATGCAGGTCAAGCAGGAGAGAACCCCCAACACACCTGAAGACTGGCACCAGGTTTCCCCCACCATTCCAAAGGGCTTTTATGCAGGTGGCATATGCCACCATTATCTAGAAGAGTGGAGAAACACGGGAACTCTATGTGTGGGTGTGGCTAGAGCTCTGGATTATTTTAATCCATTGCTGGTTGATGGGTTGTGCTTTAGTTTGGGGGCTTTGGGGTGTGTGTAAGAATGACCTGTTTTTAATTCTCCTTTCCTTTTAACTTAATTTATATATTTATGTTTTGTCTTTTATATTTATTCATTTTACTAGACACAAATAATGTTTATACACAAAGATGTATTTTATCGGCGAGACCAGGGATTGAATGCACATGAAAATGAATTATGCTCTTATCCAAGACAATACCACTTCAGGAAAGAATTGAGAACACTGATAGAATTACTTCCAGACCAAACCTCAACCATTTCTGAAGTATACTTTGGTACCTGTACCAAAGCATAACTTGAACTAACACTAACAGTTGGCTACTGCTGGAACAATTTTTATAGTGGGAGTGCTGCTGATGAAAACCATGTATTTGGTGTTTGTTATTACTACTTCAAGTCAGGGGGTGAGGCAGCACCCCTAGTTCCAGCACCACTGGTTGGCTATGCTGAGATGTTCTGGTGAGGACTAGCTACAATGCAGAAGTTACTGCCCTAGTGCTGATAAGTTTTGCCAGGTAGATCTGCCTTGCCTTGCCATCCCATTTCTATTCAGGTTTCAATCTGCCTGTTGTCTATGTGCAATATGCTCTAGTAGCCATAGTTCCTTTCAGTGAACAGCATCAGTATTTATCATCTCCTGGCAGACGCTAAAACTGCGGGGATTGTTTGAAACACTTCTTAGTATAGTTATAAAACATCAACAGGTAAATGCATAATTCAGTAAAGTTTTACATATCCTTTATGAATTCTTCACAATGATTAAATAGGGAATTTGTATGACATGTTAATAAGGACACAGAATCCAGAGAGATTCCCTTAAGCATATGGAATTCACATAAAATATACACACATCCATTATAATTGGTAGCAGACAGCAGCCTTGCAGATATTCAGGGATGCACAACACTAATTATGCTGTATTCTGAGCTGCCCTGTACAATAAATGTACAAAATTATAGCAATGGATATTAGAATCATAGAACTTAGAGATGGAAAAGAACTACACTGCTAGGTTATTTACTCTAACAGTGCAGAATTGTTCTTAGTAATTAAAATAAAAAAAAAACATGGAAAACAATTTAAAAAAACAGTTAACGTTGTTTAGTGATAATACATTTACCAATCATATCATTTTAAAACAAGGACATTAAATGCACAAGACTATATTAATATACTTTATAGCGGATTTTAAGCAACATTAGAAGTCAATAAATTCAGAAGTATAGTTCCCACCACAGTAACTGTATCATGGTTACTTGCACATAACACATTAGGGGCCCAATCCTTAATACGCCAGAATGCTGAGGCACACAAACTCTCAGGTTTTGGACATATGACTCTATGCAGTAATGCAAAATACTATATACTCAGATATGAAAGGGAGCTGAGTCAGTCATTATAGGATTTTTTTTTTTTTGGTCTTTGTGTGTGCAACCAAAAATTGCATTAAAATGGGGGCAGGGGGAGGTTGGCCTTCAGACATAATGAGAATTCTTGGTATTCAGTAGTATAAACATGTTGCCTTTGGCCCAAATCCTGACCACTTTATTCACATGGCCCCTTTATGTAGTATTTGTAAGCCACAGAAGTATACCCTATAAACATTTTTAGTACAGTGCAAAAGTACAACTGTAACCATGATTTTTGTTGATACAGGTGTGCATTTTCTGTTTGTTACGTCTTATAGTATCAAGGATGATTCACTGCTTGTTACAATACTATACAGTAAGTCCTCACTTAACGTTGTAGTTATATTCCTGAAAAATGCGACTTTAAGCGAAACAATGTTAGCGAATCCAATTTCCCCATAAGAATTCATGTAAATAGGGGGGGTTAGGTTCCAGGGAAATTTTTTTCACCAGACAAAAATATGTATATATATACACACATATACATATACATATACACACACACACACACACACACACACAATATACGTTTTAAACAATTTAATACTGTTCACAGCTATGATTATTGTGAAGCTTGGTTGAGGTGGTGGAGTTAGAGGGTGGAAGAGGGTGAGATATTTCCCAGAAAATGCCTTGCTGCTAAATCAGTGGTTCTCAAACTTTTTTACTGGTGACCCCTTTCACATAGCAAGCCTCTGAGTGCGACACCCCCACAAATTAAAAATACTTTTTTATATATTTAACACCATTATAAATGCTGGAGGCAAAGCAGGGTTTAGGGTGGAGGCTGACAGCTCGCAACCCCCCATGTCATAACCTCATGACCCCCTGAGGGGTCCTGACCCCCAGTTTGAGAACCCCTGTGCTAAATGATGAACTAGCACTCGGCTGAGCCCTCAAGGGTTAACACATTGTTGTTAATGTAGCCTCTCACTTTACAAGGCAGCAGGAATGGAGGGGAGGGGAGACAGCATAGCAGACAGAGACAGACACACACCTTGTGTGTGGGAGAGAGAGAGAGATGCACACTGCCCCTTTAAATAAGCTGACCCACTCTTAAGTGCATTGTCTTTTTAAGTGGATCAGGAAGTTGAGACAGCAGTTGCTGCCCCAGGCTCTCTCTGTCTCTCTCCGTCTGTGTCCCCTCCCTGCTCTATATGGAGAAGAAGGGGTAAGCGGGGTACAGGAGCAGGGGGGAGAGGGACACTCTGACATTAGTCCCTCCCCTTCCCCCCACCCCCCACACACAGCCAGGAGGAGGCTTGGGGAGCAGCTCCCAGGCAGAGGGGAGGAGCAGCAGCACATGGTAGTAGGGGAAGGAATAACTGCAATTGCATTATTGAATTATATTGGCATGTTGTATTATGGTTATCAAACGTGCAACAAAAATTGTGGAATTATTCATGAAAAAAAACCACTTCCATCTAGAACAGTGGTGTCCTTCCTGTGGCATTTGAATCTCTAAGTTGTGACCATTAAGGGTGACTATAGTAAGATGAAAATTTGTATTTGATTATAAATGGAGCCATACCTACAGTCTAAATCAGTTCCATCCCCTATGCCTTCTCAACTGCCTCCCACTGCTTTGCCAGCTGAGAATTGTGGGTAGGTTTCTGCTCCCTTTGCACAACCTAAGTGGTGCCAAAGATGCGGAATAGCTTCTAAGGTGGCCTGGATGAATGGGTGATATTTTGGGGTTGACTTAAATTTCTGTTTAATTCAACCATTATTATGAATAGTTATATCTGGGCTCCAGTTTTGTTTGAGGTTTACCTGGTGTTTGGATTGTCTATTGTTAACCCAGTTGATTGCATCTTTTAATTGTGATGCATAATTATAATAAGCCAAATTAGGGAAAACAAATCCATTCAATTTTGTAGTTTTATACAGAACTTTAGAACTCATCCTTTGTGTTTTATGTTTCCATATGAATTTTAGTAGTGTATCCTGCCATGTTTTTAGTGGTGTATCAAGGATACCAAGATGGATGAACTGAAACAAAAATAAAAACTTTGGGTGGACAATAACTCCATCTTCACCTAGACGACCCTACTATCCAAGAAATTTTATACACCTCTACCCCGATATAACGCTGTCCTTGGGAGCCAAAAAATCGTACTGCGTTATAGGCTAAACCGCGTTATATCGAACTTGCTTTGATCCGTCGGAGTGCTCAGCCCCTCCCCGCCCCCGGAGCACTACTTTACCGCGTTATATCCAAATTCATGTTATATCGGGCCGCGTTATATTGGGGTAGAGGTGTATTTGTTCCATTCCTCCAAGTCTTATTATTTTATTCCATGTTAGAGGGTAATTTTTCTTTAAAAGATTTTTGTTTCTCCACAATATTTATTCCTAAATATTTTAAAGATTCCTTTACCCACTTAAATTTATGTGCAACAGCATGTTTGGGGATCAGGTTAAAAAGGCTGGTCACAAGGCTTATTCACATGGAGAAGAACTTACAAAAAGAGTCCCATTGAAGCCAATGGGGTTTACTTAGGTAAGTAAATGCTTACCATGGGATTCTGCAATTTGGCCCTTTAATGAATGAAACCTAAGGGAATTTAGGTCAATTTTTGTTGAAATTATCATATAACAACTTATTTTTAATGTATTAGTTAAAACTTATTAGTTTCAATCTATGTTGTGAATTTGGAACACAAATGGCGTACAACTCTCTTGAGGATCAGAGCCTTATATAGCATTGAAACTTTTTAATACAAACAAGTGATTTGTAAGAATAACCCTTATTTATATTTCGCACTAACATCATACTCTAGTCTAGGAAACTAGACTTCCCCCATAATGAATCTCCCACAATAAGCAGCTTTAAATATTGTACAGCATAATTCTCCACTCTTGCTAATCTGCTCAGAAGATTAATGAGGTAAGTAAAAAAATAAAATAAATAAATAAATAAAAAAAACCTCTTCTGTTAATATGAAGTTTTAATTCACAGACATTCTTATTTAGTTATTATGAAGTTCAACTGAAGCTAATTTTTGCAAGATTAGTTACATTTTCACTTTAATTGGACAACCGCTTTCATGGTACCTGTGATATAGGCAACACCAACTAAAAGCAATACTCCTAATGGAAAACCAGCTTCCTTCATTGAATAAGGCAATCCTGTGAATAATGAAACAAACAAAAGATTAGAGAAAAGCCTTTTTAAATACTTGCTATTTATTTGTGGTGATCTTGTAAAGGAAGCAGTATGTTAAAAAAAAGTCTATTATTTATCCCCAAAACAGGAGCAAACGGTTTAAAGTTGCTCAGCACTGTCCTATATGTGTACATCAGACTTACTTCAGAGGGATCATTTCTGAGGGCAAAGGGTAGTTCAGTCTTAAGTCCAACCAGTACTTGATCTCTCTGCTGGGTCTGCTAACAAGGTTGCACATTATTCAACACAATGGGGCCTCTGATCTCAGTTGGCACATGTAATGTGCTCCCAATACAAATACATTATAATAATACCATAGTCACAGCAGTAAAGTAATGTGAGAAAAACATGTTTTTCACACAACTGGAGATTTATACATATATGAAAAGGGTGATTAGATTAAAGTGAAGAAAAGTGTATTTACCTATTATTCCCGATCCTATGATAGAGTTGATAACATTAAAACCAGCTGATGGGAGATCACTGTTTCCTCCTTTAGTCCTAGGTTTACAAACCAAGGCTGTTCTGTCATCTGTTTCTATCTATTCCAATAAGAGAATATTAGTGTTATACAAAAACATATTAGACTAATGGAGAACAATTATGTCAGACATGTTTTGAGTCTTACTAAGTTACAGAAGTATCCTTTATCAATCTTCTGCAGCTTGTTTTGCTCTGACTAGGTATCAGCTTCACATAAGCGTCAGAGGATGATGAACAAAGAGCTGTTCTCAGTGAGATTTTGGCCCCCAAAGGATGAAATATCATGGGATCGATCAGGTATTCTTCCAAGATTTCAGCCACATCTGACCAAGCAGTAGAAAATAAGCCACTTCTGATTTTGGATCAGCCCGAGAAACAAAATCAGAGGGATGGATTCAATTCCAAGAATTCAAATCAGAATATACCAGAATCTGAAGAAGTGCCGACTCAAGGGTCCAGTGCTGACTTTTTTCTGCTTCTAACAAATAATTTCTTTCTCAGCCAAAGGTTTAGACCACAGTGAATAGCTAATTGATATTAATGAAATTGGCTTGCCCCAGTAAACCGCCATGTGAAAGACCCAAATTCAAGGCAAAGCTTAGACTCTCACTGCAGTAGCTAGTAGTTTTACAGAGATAATGTTCTCAGCCTCTAGATGGGTCGGGAAGGGAGAAAGGTTCACCTTACTCTAAGCACACCCTTCTCTTTGGCCTGGTCTACACTAACCCCCCCACTTCGGACTAAGGTACGCAAATTCAACTACGTTAATAACGTAGCTGAATTCGAAGTACCTTAGTCCGAACTTACCGCGGTCCAGACGCGGCAGGAAGGCTCCCCCGTCGATGCTGCGTACTCCGCTCGCCGAGCTGGAGTACCAGCGTCGACGGCGAGCACTTCCGGGATTGATCCGGGGCACTTCCGGGATCGATCCGGGATCGATTTATCGCGTCTTAACCAGACGCGATAAATCGAACTCAGAACATCGATTGCTTACATCCGGACCCGGATGTAAGTGTAGACGTACCCTTAGAGAGGCAAGACACTGGTCAGGGATATATAGTCCCATCAACCAGGAGGTCAATAAATGCAGTGATATGTAATTAAAAGGAGGAACATAAATTTAATGAAGAAAATGGCAAATCAGAATTAAAGTATGATGATTTAGCTTGTACACACCATGATACTGAAATCACCATCTGAGAGGTAAGAGCTTGCTAAATATATACAGGAGTAAGGCTGCAAATCTGTCACAGAAGTCAAGGATTCCATGATTTTCTGGGACCTCTGTGACTTCCGCAGCCGGCAGGTGCGACTGACCCCAGGGTTGCCCGAGCAGCTCGGGTGGCCCCGGGGCCAGCCACACCAGCCTCCCTGCAACCTGTCATGGACAGGTCCTGGGCCGCCCCGGCCAGCAATGGTTGCGGTGGTCCCGGGCCACCCCCCCTGCCAGCAGCAGCATGGCAGTCTCAAGCCCCCACCCCACCCCCAGGACCAGCGGGCGCCTCAGAGGCCCCCCTCCGGAACAGCAGCTGTACCCCTGGAGCCCCCCAGAAAACCAAATATTTAGTCAGGGGTATATAGTACAAGTCATGGACAGGTCATGGGCCATGAATTTTTGCCGTGACCTGTCCATGACTTTTACTAAAAATTCCCATGACTAAATCTTAGCCTTACACATGAGGCACTACAAAAAAATAATTCAGCTCAGATGCCTGTAGCCAACACCGCTGGAAAAAAAGTTAAATATGATTGATAAACCAAAGATTGATTTACTTCATAGGAATCTGTGCAGTGCCATCATCTGACAAGCATGTAAGAGCATTACAACAGAATTAAGTGGCTACATGGAACTCTTCAAAGTTGCCTGCTGATGACAGCAGTGTACATCATCAGCACTTCCACTGGACTGGAACAATTTAGGCTCTCTCCTTCATATTAGGTATTTGTGTATTTCTTTGCAATCTACCATTTCTTTGACCAGAAATATTTTTTGCTTACTCAAAAAATTGTACTATACAAGTCAGAAATTCATTCTTACTTTTATTGTCTCATTTCTGGATCGCTGCCTAATATGCAAAATACATATTTCTACCTAGTCTTTAGAACAATTGACTTTGTTGTCAGACTGTAAAGCAGCCATTAAATATAAATCCTTATAGTCAAGCTTTGTGGAAATGAGTGGTCTAGCCTGGACGTGACTCTTTTAAACACTTTTACTGTTGTGGAACTGGCCTTCAGTCTTGGCAACAGTATCAATAAAGCAGCTCAGAAATCAGTGGAATGCTAGACTGTATTTGGTACACATGGGAGAGTAAAAGCCCATGTTAAGAGACATATGTCCAAGAAATCTGATTCTTTAAGGTTATCAATTTGTGTCAGATACAGCAGGATGTAGTATATTAAATTAATAGTTTATTCTAGGGCAGTTAACTCACACGATTAACTCAAAAAAATAGTTGCCTATATAAAACAAAGCCCCTAATATCGGGACGGTCCCAATAATAATGGGACATGTGGTCACCCTACCTGAAAGTGAGAATAGGCATTCGCATGGTACTTTTCTCTAAGTGACTGGCTGAACAAGAAGTAGGACTGAGTGGACTTGTAGGCTCTAAAATTTTACATTGTTTTATTTTTGAATGCAGTTATTTTTTATACAGAATTCTACATTTGTAAGTTCAACTTTCATGATAAAGAGACTGCACTACAGTACTTGTATTAGATTAATTGAAATATTTCTTTTTTACACTGCAAATATTTGTAATAAAAATAAATATAAAGTAAGCACTGTACACTTTGTATTCAGTGTTGTAACTGAAATCAATATATTTGAAAATGTGGAAAACATCCAAAATATTTAAATAAATGGTATTCTATTATTGTTTAACAGCGTGATTAATCGTGTGATTAATCATGATTATTTTTTTAATCACTTGATAACCCTAGTTTATTCTGATCACATGTTTACCACATGTCATGCATTTTCATGTTGGATAAAATGGGAACTTATTCTTGCCTTGGGATTCTTCACAAATTATCTAATAACAATGATAATACTTTGTTCTATGATAGCACCTTCCATATGAGGATCTCAGAGTTCATCATCTTCTCTATAAACATGTTTCTAAAGTGCCCACCACTCCAGCAGAGTTAGAAACTTTAATGAACTTGCTCCCCTTTGATATTCATGTGAAAAACAAAGGCTCAGGGACATTAAGGGACTGATCTTCAGACGCATCGAGCACCCACAGCTCCTGTGAACTGTTCCAGGTGACAAAAGAAGTGTGTGTTGCGGCGTGGGGGGAGGAGCAGGATTAAATCTCAGGCCGCCTGACTTCTGTTGCTGTGTTTTATCTTTCCCCGTTCTCTATATTGCTCATGTGGAGCCATTGTGATGAAAGAGATTACCAGGAGCAGTTATTTCTGGTGACTGCCCACTGAAGACTTTGAAAGTCTATTTACCAACAGTTCTGTTGCTAGCAAACGACTTTTATAGCTTTTCCCGCTTTCCATTTTATTTTTCTAATCACCTCTCCTAGCATCATTTGCATTAAGCCAGCTGTTTAGTGAAGCCTAATTAAATATTGACATTGACAGTCTTTTCCCAATCCTTAATCATAAAGGTGAAGGAGTAGATCGTGCCTGAGCTCGTACACTTTCTGGAAAGTTTTGCAAAGCTTATTTCGTGTTTTAAAGCTTGTTCAAAGTAAATGCAGAAAAGTGCCTTTAAACAAATAAGTGAAGGACTTGCTAAATGTGAAATGTAGCTGGGTGAAGAGCAGGCTTGGGTTCGTTTCCTCTCTCCACACCAAGGAAAGAGTTAGATGTCAGACACGGAGCTCCCAGGCCAGGCAATACTAGGAGGATTTCAAAGCGTTGGGAATGAGCATGTTGCATGTAATAGCCCTCGCCCCCGGCCCCACACATACATACACACCGCCCGTACCCCTCCAGTTCTGCATCTCCAAGAGCGAGCAACTTTAAACACTCCCCTGCGGGAGGCTGAGCTCACGGCACTGCCTGCCTCCACCCGGCAAAGAAACGGGGGAGGACTGAGTTTCTAGCAAACCAGCGACACTGACTGACCCTAACTTCCCCGCGGTACCTGGTGAGCAGAGCTTGGCAGCTGGCGCTCCTGGCGGGCGTGCTGCTCCATCGCGGGGCGCGGACGAGCCAGGCTCAAAGGGGAGCAGCAGCCAATGGTCCTGCTGGGACGCCCGTCTGCGGCTGCCCGAAGGAGGCCGTGCGCTGACTGGCTGCCCTGCCCAGAGCCTGCAGGGAGCTGCATACTCGCGGGGGGGGGTTCCAAGGACACGTGCAGCGGGGGGGAGTGGAAGCCCTCCTCCCCCAGTTTGTACGGGAGATGTGTGAGCTCCCAGACAGAGGTCAGGGGAGATGTGCCCTGGGGCAGGGAGTCAGTATTTTGTTTACGAACAGAGGCAGGTGATTAAGATAAGAAAGGGCTGGTGATTAAATTAAAACTCTGGAAGTTTAGCCTGAAAAACAGAAATGGGGGGGGGCGTTTTAGAGAGAACACAGGGGACTCGGAAGAAATACAGCCAAGCCCTCTGAGCCAAGGTTGCATTCAGAAAAGGGGGAGGTTTGGGGGTTTAGGTGAAAAGACGGGGCCAAAACTCAGGGAAGGGATAGCAGTGGTACAGAGAAGTTCCCACTCAACCTGTAGTACTTATGTGGCCACATCACTGTAGCAGCTGAGTGCATCACAAGGTCTAACCTATTTCTCCTCACAGCCCCTCAGTGAGGTAGAGCAGTGCTGTTATCCCCATTGTACAGATGGGGCACTGAGGCACACACCGACTAAAGGCCAGATTTCCAAAGGTATTTAGGCACCTAGTGGGATTTTCAGAAGTTCCTAGAAGGTTAGGTGCTTTGTAAACCCCACTAGATGCCTAGCTGCATCTTTGGGTGCCTAAAAAGTTTTGAAACGCTCTTTAAGGCACTGGCCTGAGGTCATACAGGAAGTCCATAGGGGAGTAGAACCCAGGTCTTTCAGGGCTAGCATGCAGAGGGGCTG